GTAGGCGTCGAGAAAAGTTAGGATCTCGTGGCCAGCTGTGGCATCGATTATATGATCGATGTTGGGAATTGGGAAAGAGTCTTTGGGGCATGCTTTGTTTAAATCCTTGTAGTCTACACACATTCTAAGTTTATTTACTTTTTTAGGAACTACAACTACGTTGGCTAACCATTCGGGGTATTTTACCACCCGAATTGACCCTATTTTAAGAAGTTTGGTTACCTCGTCCTTTATGAATGCATGTTTCACCTCGGACTGGGGATTCCTTTTTTGCTTTACCGGTTTGAACTTGGGGTCGAGGCTTAGCCGGTTTGTTGTTATTTTTGGTGGAATCCGTGTCATATCTAAATGGGACCAAGCAAAGCAATCCATATTATCAATAAGAAATTGAATGAGTTTTTTCCTGAGTTTGGGGATTAATCCCGTTCCTAGGTATACCTTTCTCTCGGGCTTATATTCGATCAATATGACCTACTCCAGTTCCTCGACTGTTGATTTGGTTGCGTCTGATTCTTCGGGAACAACAAAGGTTCAAGGAGTAAAGAAATCCTCTTCTTCTTCTTTGATTACCTGTTCTTCCGGCTCAATTAGGACTGGGATCAGTGATTGCTATTTGGCTTCCTGCTTAGCTTTGGTGTTTGACTTTTCCAAGGTCGAGGGCTCTAGTATCGGCGTCACTTATCAATTGCAAACATTTCCTTTGTAGTGTGTTGCTCTCCGTAAACCGTTTTCACACCATCCTCTGTTGGGAACTTCATCATCTGATGAAGAGTTGAAGGTACTGCCTTCATGTTGTGTATCCATGGTCTCTCGAGGAGTGCATTATACCTCATGTCGCCTTCGATGACATGTAATTTTGTATCTTGTATGGTCCCGGCTACGTTTAGTGGAAGGATGATCTCCCCCTTTGTAGTTTTGCTTGCCATGTTGAAGCCATTTAGAACCTGGGATGCAGGTACAATCTGATCCTGTAGGCCGAGCTGTTCTATGACCCTCGACCTGATTATGTTTGCTGAGCTACCTGGATCCACTAGAACATGTTTAACTTGAATCTTATTTAAGAGAATAGAAATTACCAGGGTGTCATTGTGCGACTGAGATATGCCTTGTGCTTCTTTACCATAGAATTACAGGGCGTCCTCGGGCACATAGCTCCGAGTCCGTTTTTCTCTGGTGATCGACACCTTGGTGCATTTGAATGTAGGTCTTTGTGGGACATCGACACCACCAACGATCATGTGGATTACATGTTGTAGTTCTTCCTGCTCTTTTTTCTGCTTGCATCTTTCTCCCTGAAGTGATTCTTAGCTCGATCACTGAGAAATTCTCGAAGGTGACCCTCGTTGAACAATCGAGCTACCTCCTCCCTTAGCTGCATGCAGTCTTCAGTTCTATGGACATGTGTGCCATGATACTTACACAACATGTTTGGATTCATTTGAGAGGGATCGGTTTGTATAGGCCCGGGCCACCTGGTATCTTTGATTCTTCCAATAGCCGACACAATCCCTGATGTATCTACACTAAAATTATACTCCGACAATCGAGGTGCATCCGCGGGGTCTGTATGATTATAAAACCCGTTCTTACTTATGAGTCCCCGAGAGCTTTGACCTCGATCGTTTCTCCGATCATTTCGAGGAGCGTTACGACCCAAGCCATTGTTTCTCCAATCGACATATGACCGATATCGCTCCTTGTTAGATCTTGATTCCCTGTCTGTATCCCTCGGGGTCTTAGCTGCCAATGTGTTAGGATGAACTGAACCCAAGGGGGATCCCAACTAGTCGTCCTCGACCCTAATCTTTGATTGGTAACAATTATGCACATCTGACCACGTCACAGCTGGATACTCGATCAGATTCTGCTTTAATTGTCGAGACACGATCAAACTCCTTTCATTCAAACCCTGCATAAAAGCTTGTACTGTGCAGTCATCCGAGACCGGTGGTAATTCCATTCGCTCCATCTGAAACCTAGACACGAACTCCCTTAACATCTCGTTGTTCCTCTATTTTATCTTAAAGACATCTGATTTCCTTGTCGCCACCTTTATGGCCCCGACGTATGCTTTTACGAAGGCGTATGCTAACATAGCAAATGAATCAATAGAGTTTGGGGACAAGTTGTGATACCAAATCATGGCTCCCTTAGACAAGGTTTCTCCAAACTTTTTCAACAAAACCAATTCGACCTCATCAACATTCAAGTTGTTTCCTTTAATCCCGCAAGTATACGAGGTAATATGTCCGTTGGGATTGGTTGTTCCATTGTATTTAGGTATATCGGGCATACGGAACTTCTTGAGGATGGGCATCGGAGCCGCGCTCGGAGGAAACAACTTTTGTATGAATTTTTTGGCGTCCAATCCTTTTAAGACCGGGGGTGCCCCCGGTATTTGATCAAACACGGGAGTTATAGGTCTCCACCTTTTTGTCATTATCCTTAATCTTCTTTTCCCCGGACTCAATCCTCTTGGTGAGTTCCTCGAGCATCTTCATAATTGTGGGGTCAGTCCCCGAGCCATTCTCGTTTGATCTTTCTGGAACCAGCTCAGTACTCGAGTGTTTTTCGGTTCAGCTATACTCGGAGTTTTATTCTGACTCTGAAGTCGAGCGATGGCAATCTGTTAGGCTTACAACATTTCGAATATCACTTGGAGGCTGACTCCCCCCTCTCCTATACCTTGTGTTCCTTGGCCCCCAGAATGGGCTTCCTTGCGTACACTTTCTCTGGGGTCTGCGCCTAAATCTGCATTCAAATCAATGTATGAACTAACATCAACTGGTTCCACATTTGGCACTTCCCCGGGGTTTATCGGTGGTACACCGACCCCTACATTATTGTTTTCTCCATGAAATCCAAGACCTTCGTTTTCATGAACATGTGCGTTTTGCGAGTTCGACATGTTTAATCCTGAGAATCAAAAAATTCTTGACAAGAAAAAGTGTAAAATAACATGTGTTATGAGAATGAGTAATGAAATAATCATTATTATCTTTAACCCCATGGTGGGCGCCAAACTGTTTATCTCGAAAATACGAGTAACAATAAAATTTGATGTGTGATTTTAAAGATACGTGATTTAGTTCAATACTAATTAGTAATCAAGAATCTGAAATATAGATGAAAGAAATAAGTAAGACCAAACCAGTAGATGAGTCAGTCTCGACCTCGACCCCAAGTGACCTCGAGATTGGTCAAGAACAATAAAGCAATAGTAATAAAGCTAAAGGACAATTCTAATGAACAATGATATTCTTTGTCACATGATTAGATGATCTCTACAAATGATTGTGGTCCCCTTTACATAATAGAGGAACCCTAAATAAGGTACATTTCTATTTACAGTAAGGAATCTTATTGGGATAGCTGCATAACCGCCTAGTACGAATTTGTACTAATTCGTACAAATCTATTCCGGAATTTACGCCATGATCTTGGGGACGTGGCGAGAATCTTGTCCTTCTGTAACAAACTCATAACGACACTGTCTCGGAGTCGGTCATACTCGACTTCGATACTCATCGTACTTCGATCCTCGGGCATTGTATTTCGAGCTTCGAGTCTTGTCCATCGAGCTCGAAGTCGACCTTGCCAGAACTCGGGTTTAAGGCGACCCCTCGAACCTACAAAATCGGAGGCCTATGATTTTGACCGTATACATTCATATTTATATTGTGGTTGCAGTTTAATTTCTTTGTAGATAACTTCCGATCCACACAACTCTTATTAACTTTTAATTTGTTTGTTTGTTTTCTTACAATTTATTTAACTACCAGATAAAACTTTTTCCCTTTTGTTAAGGCTATATAACATATCAAATAACAAAAAATTAAACATATTATATTAAAATTTCTCATGGATCAATTTGGGCTATATTTCAGCCCAAATTTTAGGTGAATTGAATTAGGAAAAGTACTTCCAGTTTATGCACCTTTTATTAGCTTAAACAAGAACCAAATTTGTAGTGTCCAGAAACTAAATAATCAATGGCCATAAATTCAGGATTAGTTTTTAGGGTCGTTCTTCTCAATTTCTGTTTGACGTGAACTTTTTTTCTTTTCTTTTTTTCACAATATTAGAAGTTGCTTTTGTTTGAATGCGATCTTTTTCTCTTTTCGTTTTTCATTTTGTGCATCGGCATCATGAAAGCTCGCTGGCAACGTGAGAGATAATTATCAATTGCCGCGAGGAACTTGGATTATTGTTCCTAGTTTTATAATTAGCGCGATTCAGATATAGAATCATGAGCCAAAAGTTTTGCTTGCAACCCAGCTAACCATTTAGTACCATTTCAATATATACCTTTCGTTTTAAAAAGATAGTGTTAGTTTGATTTGACATAAATTTTAATAAAAAAATAAAAAAAATTGAGATATGTGGTTTTAAATAGTCATATCATTTTTATAGCTATAAAACTTTTGAAATTTGTGATCTGAAACATGTCATAGCATTTATATGGCTATAAATACTTTTTATTTAGGAAATATTGAAAGGTATCAATTTTTTCGAAATAGACTAACAAAAAAATAGTGTAAATTTTTTTGAAATGGAGGGAATATGTAGTTCCAACAAACTAGTCATTATCCAGTTTAAAGGATTAAGTCAACAATATTGTCTTAGTCAACTCTCCATTGTAATGAATGATTTGAAGTGATTATGCATCATTTTCTTTTGCCAAAATAATGAATGCGTGCACTTCTACTTAAGTATAAATTAAATTTATAAAGAGAAAGATTTGACGTTAGAATTAATCTAAGCTATTATCAATGACGTGCAGCCGCTATGTATATTATTGAATAACTCCGACCCACTAAAAGAGAGAAGATTTTTTTATTACTCGGATAATTCAAAGTATATATTGTTTGAACTTGAACTAATATATTGGCCACGCACCCAGTATTTTATTTGTATATATTTTGCGACGTGCGAACAAACAGGAAGAATAGCTAAATAATGGAACAGTTGGTCTCTATATAAACCATCAAACTTAATTGTGGTTTCATCATCGATCTTTATTAAGTCTTCTCTAGCACAAATTAACACAGAATAAGTAAATATGAGATCCATCAAGTTTGTCTTGGTCAAGCTCGTTATCTTTCAATGTATAACGTTATTAGTACATGCTAAGGACTTAGATTTCTACCGCCTTACCCTACAGGTATGTAATCACTTAGAGAATTAATTAGTACTCACTCTGTCCCAATTTATGTGATTATATATTCTTCATTCGTATCGTTTCTTGATTAATTAATTAAAACGTTGTGGCTATATATATGTATATATTCTCAGTGGAATCCAGCAGCATGCTACAATAGGATTATAGGTAAATGCTGTAACACAACCACGGGAAGACCAGCAGAAGATTTTGGTATTGCTGGACTATGGCCATCTTACAACAATCTCACATATCCAGAAAACTGTAATAAGGCAGGCCCTTATGATGAAACGCAAGTAAGTTTAATTATACAGAGGCGAAGCCAAGACTTCAAGCTTATGGGTTCGAGATCCTAATAATTCTTTTAAATTACTGGGATCTAAATTAGTAATTTGTGCATTTAATAAAATTTTAAGACAAATACTTGATTTGAACCAAAGCTACTGAGTTCGGCCGAACCCGTAGCCAACACTGTGGCTCTGCCTCTGAGCTTATGTACATTTGATAAAATACAGATCTCGGACTTGCTGAGTAGTATGCAAAAGAATTGGCCCAAAATATCTTGTCCATCAAACAATGGAACTAGTCTGTGGGCTAAGGAATGGAAGGAACGTGGTACTTGTTCTAGGCTCAACATGCATTCTTATTTCGAAACAGCTCTTGATCTTAAGGAAAAGCTGAACCTGATTCAAGATGTTAAGCGTTACGGTACAGATCTTACACATGTGCATATGCATTCTTNTATATATATAATACTCCATCTGTTTCAATTTAGACGATACACTTTCCTTATTAGTACGTTCCAAAAAGAATGACACATTTCTACAATTGGAAATAATTCAACTTTAAATTTTTTATTTTACCCATTTTACCCTTAATGAGAAGTTTTTATAACCGTACAAATGTCATGATCACACAAAGCTTTTTCCCCTTAAGCTTTTAATACTACAAGTTTCAAAAATCTTTTTTTCCTTCTTAAATTTTGTGTCGAGTCAAACTATCTCATCTAAATTGAAATGGAGAAACCAATACATTTTATAATATTGGTCAAAGTTCATATATTTTGAATCTCGAGAAGCGGAATGTTACACCTAATTTGGGATGCAAGAGGGAGTAGTATTTTCAGCTTGGTTTTCAATTGAGGTAAAATATTGTCAGGACTCGAACCAAATGGACAATTTTACCACTGGCGTCACATCAATGCAGCCATAAAATTAGCTATTGGACATGTGATCGCTATAGAATGCAATCTTGGTTTAACTGCGGACAGCCAGTTTTACAGGGTTCACATATGTGTTGATAAATCTGGTTCGGACTTCATTGACTGCCCAATTAACCTCACCGAAATCTCTGAGACAACATGTTCTTCATCTACTAAATGGTCTGGCTACGATACAGATAGTGTCCTTGAAGAGCGATCTGCCTATTCTTGGGCAAGGAAATAAATCTGTGCAAAAGTATGACCACTTTTATCATGAAACAAGGAAACTTCTTTGTACTTCGTTCATGCTTTTAAAGTGATGTTTGCAAGTTCAACGTTTAAGTCAAGTCGGTGTTCTCTTGCAATAAAGATTCTTTAGATGGTACACATCAAAAGAACTGTGTCCTTTTTATCTTCTTCTTTATTTTCTGACCATGGTTGTACCCTATTTACTTCTTTTTGTCATGGAAATAAAATTGCAAGCTTGTTCCTTAATAAAAAAAAAAAAAAAAAACCCTTGTTTGTCTAATCACATTGACAAAAAGGAATATTTCCAACTGTGTCAATTTTCCTGCAACATTTTCATGAAAATGAGCTGCGTGGGAGGGATCTTATTTTGATCATTCAAATTGAGAAATCCCTACCCGAACACAAAGACAAGATTAGATAAACTATGTAACGCACTTGTAGGGTTTTTTTAGGTGTGAATAGGAAAATGCACCGTTTGGATTATGCCTCTCCATCTCACCCTTCTATTTATAGGATCTTGCCATATATTAAACCAATTAGATTGCTTGGTTATGCAACTTGCAATTTACAACTGGTAAATTGCAAGTCTCGTTACATTGTAAAACCAGTTGCACCCGTGGTTTTGCATATTGTTTCAGCCGCCCATTGTAACTTGCTGTCATAATTTTTTTTTATTTTTCTTTTCTTTTCTTTTTTTATTTATTTAAATGGGTTCCACAAATCTCCCCCTTAATTTTGATTTTTCTTCTTTATTCCAAATTTTGATCACAATCTCTGAAAATTTTCAAACTTAAGAAGTTTTGTAATGATGTCTGCAACTTGATCATGAGATTTGACATACTTGCAAACTCTACTTCCTTCTTGGTAATGCATTATCTCATGAAGTGATGCTTTGTATTTATATGCTTGCTTCGATCATGATATACCGGATTCTTGGCAAATGCCTATGTAAATTTGTTGTCAATACAAATCTCTGTAGCTTCAATTTATGGCAAATTAAGCTCCTTCAATAATCTTCTTAGCCAAATAACATGACATGTACAGGACATTGCTGCTAGATATTCAGCTTCACAAGTCGAGAGAGTAACACTTAATCATTTCTTTGAACTCCAAGAAATAACAGAATCATCCAAGAAAAATACAAAACCAGTTATGTTTTTCCTATCATCAATGTCTCCTGCATAGTCATTATCACAAAATCCCACAAGAGTAAAATCACTAGAAGAAGAATAAAATAACGCAGAGTTAATCGTACCTTTTAGGTAATGAATTCTTCTAGCTATCTTCAAGTGAGTAGAGGTAGGAGCTTCCATGAATCGGCTTACTACTCTAATAGCAAAGAGTATATCTTGCCTGGTACAAGCCAAGTACCTTAAGTTTCTCACAAGACCATTGAAAAATGTGAGATACACTTTTTTTCCTCCATCAAACTTTGACAAATTTATTCCACTCTCCATTGGCGTGTTGGGGTTGCAATCGAACATGTTGAACTTCTTTAAGATTTTTTTTGTTGTATAGCTTACTTGAGAGATGAAAATGACCTCTATTTGCTTCACTTCTATGCCCAAGTAGAATGACATAAGCCCTATGTTTATAATCTCGAACTCATGAGACATATCTTTCTTAAAAGCTTCAAACAAACTTGGGTTACTACTTGTAAAAATAAAATCATTAACATAAAGACAAACAAGCAACATATCTCCACAAGTATGAACTATAAGCTAGAGCATATTCATGGAGGCAACGAGTAAACACATTATCTTGAAAATGCTTGTCGATATGACTATTCCATGCTTGTGGGACTTGCTTCAATCCGTATAAAGCTTTTTTCAACCTCAACACTTTATCTTCATGATTATTGACCACGAAGCCCAATGGTTGTTCAACATAGATTTCTTCTTCAAAATAACTATTCAAGAAGGCTGACTTGACATCTAGTTAATGAATCTTCCACTTTATTTGTGCAACCAAAGAGATCAACAAATGATTCATCTCCATGTGGGTAACAAGTGCATAAACTTCTTCATAGTCAATGCATTGCTTTTTCTTGTAGCCTTTAGCCACATTTGGTACTTTGTATCTCTCTACCTCTCCATTAGCATTCTTCTTTGTCTTGTATATCCGTTTCACTCCAGCTGTTCGATGAACCTTGGGAAGAGTTGTTAACTCCCAAGTGTTGTTCTTCTATATTGACTCGATCTCCTCATCCATGGCTTTTCTTCACTTTTTGTCTGTAACATCTTCATCAAAGTTTATTGGTTCACTATCAGCAAAGAGTCAATATAAAAAAAATCAAAACTAGTAACTTCTTCGATGCCATCATTGAGCTCTTGAATATTCCTCATCCTGTGAGGCTTTCATTTGAACTTTCTTGAGAGGAAGGAGATGCAACATAGGTTGGAAAAGAATGTGGAGTTGTATCCTGCACAAGTACCATGCTCTCTTGTTCTTCTTCATCTCTATTGTATGGAAGAAAATCATATGACTTTTCTTCCTTAGGTTCCCAATTCTATGCCACTTCTTTATCAAATTCAACATCATGACTCACCACCACCTTGCAAAAACTGCTTGGGTTATATAGCTTGTCGCCTTTTGAGGTGCTGTCATAGCCAGTGACGAATCCAGAATTTTAAAGTGACGGGTGCTCGCCGATAAAAAATTCGAAAGAAGAGGAAAAAAAAGTTTAGTTATGGGTGCTCATTCAATATTTATCTAACTATTTTTAATAATTGCCTAGGTAAATTTACTAAATCCGGTTAAAAGTAATGGGTGCTCAAGCACCCATAAGTATCCATGTACATCCGCCACTAATCATAGCCAACAAATACATGCTTGATACTTCGATCATCAAGCTTCGCTCTCCCTTACTGTGACACATGAGCATAGGCTATGACACCAAATATTATTAAGTGTTTGACACTTGGCTTAATCCCACTCCATGCTTTTTGAGGATGACGATTTCCATAAAACTGACAAAACTAATTAAATTCCTTTATAGTTAATTCGCCTCCTTTATCGGACCTTAAATGTAATGTCTGGATTGTCTGTTTTGAGTATTTGAACTCCATTACCCTATTTGATATTTTTCGTGGGTGTATTTGATGATTTATGACTTGTTGGGATAGGTGGTTTGGCTTTCATGGGATTCGGAAGTGAATTGGAACACTTAGTTTTGTTTTGGAAACCTTAAGTTGGAAGAATTGATCCACGGTTTGACTTTTGTTTAAATGACTTTAGATTGGTGATTTGATGGTTCCAACAGGTTCTTATGGAGATTTTAGACTTAAGCATATATTCAGATTTTATTAGGTTCCTAGAAGATATTGTGCTTATTTGCCGAAAGTTGACAATTTGAAGTATTTGGGAGTTGTTAAGTTTGACCGATAGTTGACTTTGATGATATAAGACTCTGATTGTTGTTCAAAAAATTGGGAAAGGTTGATTTTGTTGTTTGAAAACTTGTGTTCAAAGTTTGATTGTGATACAGATTATTTAAGATTGACTTAGACGCTTGGTTGGAAGTTTGGAAGTTCTTAAACATAGAAGTTCATCTTGTGGTTTGATACTTGATTTGTAGTTATGATGACTTCCTATGTGTTTGAGAGATTTGGATAGGTTTGAGTAGTTTTTATGGAGTTTTTGGTATATTTGGATAGGGTCCTAGGTGTCTCGGGTGAGTTTCGGACCACTTAGAGCATGTTTGGAGTTGGCTGATATGTTGGTGTCTAATGTTTATCGCTTTGCGAGAGGAGCATCATGTTCACGATGAAGGATTTGGGGCAGGGGAGGAATGTTTTCTTGACGTTCGCACTTGAGGAATGGGTTCGTGAAGGTTTGTAACAGTGTACTTTGCATTCACATTGAGGGGATTGCGTTTGCAAATAGGAGATGGAAGCTGAGAGCTTTGGCCTTCTTGTTTGCGAGGGCTGAGTCGCATTCGTGTAGGTTTCTAGCAGGAAAGCATCGCATTCATGGAAGGAGCTTCACATTCGCGAAGAGGTAATTTAGGTAGAGGTATTTTGTGCTTTATGAATGCGAGTCATGTATCGTATTTGCAAAGAATATCCTTGGGCAGTACATTTAAGTGAGGACTTCGGGATATTTACTCATTCTCTCATATTGTAACCCTAGACTTGGAGAGAGACAATGTTTTTGGAGAGTTTCATACAAGACTTTGGGATAAGTGGTTTTTACCCATTTACGGTATTATTTCAAGGATCTTCATGGATTATTAACACCTAAAGCATAAAAATTTGAGGTAAAGTTTTTTTTGAGGGGGGTAAGAGAGGGGAAATTAAGGTTTTAAGCAATGATTTGGACTTGGATTTGAAAACCAAACACAAATTTGGACTCGCGGGTTATGGATAGTCGGGATCTACGCCTTGACTAAGGTTTCGACCATGCGAGCCCTGGTTGACTTTTGTTGACTTTTGGGGATTTGATTGAAGATTGAATCTTTATTATGTTGAGTTGATTCATATGGCTTTTTTTGACATTACTGAGTTGTAGTTGACAAGATTCGAGCCGTTCGAAGTCTGATTTGCGAGGGAATGCATTCTTAGAGTATTGATTTTACTTGTTTGAGGTAAATATCTTGCCTAATCTTGTTGTAAGGAAATAACCCTTATGATATGACCTATCCAATTGAGATGGGAGAAAAGTGACGTATATATGAGGTGACGCATGTTTATGCGGGTGCTATGTATGATTTGATCGGATTAGACTTTAGGATTTTGTTATGTCTTGTTCGGACTCTATGTTTTTTATGATTCATATTTAATCATTTGTATGACTACGTGAACTTCTTGAATCTTTCTAGAGACCATGTGTAGGTTTCGATTTCCCGTGTGAGCATGATACTCATTATAATATGGATTACCCGCCTAATATAAGTTGTAGTTGTATACTTCACACATGCATACACCTTAGCATGATATTTGCCTCCGTCCATGAGTATGTGAATTGATATTTGTTGTTCGTATACAAGTATTCTTGTATATGATTTCTATGATATGTACTGGTTTGACAACACGTGAACGGTTTGTGCGGGTTGAGTTATTATAAAACGTGAGTTATCCATGCGGTTGTTAAGATTATGGCACGTGAGTTGTCCATGTAGCGTGTGGATAAGGATCCATCCTCATAGGATCGTCCTCTCTTGTTTCTCTTTCGATTATGTACATATGGATAATGAAAACTGATTAGTTTTTGAGATTTTGTGTATCTTATCTATGTGAAAACTCCTTGGATATATATATGATTTTA